ATTTCCTTTCCGTGAGGGACAACAAAATATTTGTTTTGTTGACAACGCCAATTTAATATATCATTTTTTAAATTTTGCCGGTGAATGCTTAACAAAATACTTGAATTATATTAATGTCAATAAAAATTAAGCATTATTATTGGTGAATGGTTAACAAAATACACCCAAAGTTACCAAGATACTTGAGTACAGAATATGAGTAATTCACGCTATAAATCACATATTCAAAATCTGTGTCGTTATATTGTTCTCTCATATTCAAATCCGATGGTGGTGTTGATTTCTTGCATGACCTGCACACTCTGGAGTTCTTAAATAGTATAAAATGTTCTGGTTTTCCAAATCATGAATTGCACTTAAAGGTTGGGACTCCTGTCATGTTGTTGAGAAACATTGATATTCAATTGGACTGTGTAATGGAACACGCTTGATGATAACGAAATTTTTCACTCACGTGTTTGAATGTAAGATTCTAACAGGATCAAATGGTGGACATAAGGTATTGGTATCAAGACTTTCCCTAACTCCATCTGATCTCATGATACCCTTCAAGTTCCAACGTAGACAATTTACTCTTATGTTTTCTTACGCAATGACAATCAACAAGAGTCAAGAGCAGTCGTTATTCCATGTCGGACTTTACATGAAAAGACTGGTGTTTATTAGTCCTGGTCAATTATACATTGATGTGTCTCGAGTCACTAATCCACAAGATTTAAGATATTAATATGTGGGGGGACGACAATGGGGAAAAAAAAACTACTAAAAATGTTGTCTATTAAGAAATTTTTCATAATTTCTAATACCATATAATATTGTACTTTTACTATCTATTCAATAATAATGTTATTTATTTGTCATTTACTTTTTATGATATATATATATCTATATATTTTAATGTATTTATTAAAATATTTTAATAAATATGTTCCGTGCATCGCACGGGTGAAGATACTAGTTGATGAGAAAGAGCTACATAGTGATCGGGTACGAGAGCAAAAAGTAGAAACAAAGAGAAGGTCGAACGAGAGAGGAAGTCGTCGCGAGAGAGATGAGCAGCGATTTTTTTTTTTTTTAGTACAATTGCATGTGTCTAATTTTTTTATAGGAAAATATAAAAAGGTAGTGAGGATGTATAACTAATTATTTTTATTGTTATTTTTTATTAAGTTTTTTATTTTATTTTGTGTCATAGGTCATTTGACCAAAAAAATTGTGGTTGTGGAAGGTTATTTCAACCAATTTCCACCAGTAACCAGTAATAATTTTAATTTATTATGAGTGAAAATTCAAAATAAATGTATCTGACCAAAAATAAATTTTTGATATAACATTATAAATTTATTGATATTTATTAGGATCTATCAGAATAATAATACATCAGATATATAAAACGAAAAATAATAAAAAATAAAAAAAAAATATCTAACACTGATGATAGAAGTAAAGACGAAAACGAACGAGGAAAACAAAAAAAAAAATATGAACCTCCCTTCCAATTAGCATAGTTAAATGAAAAAAAAAAATCATCAGAATTAATTTAAATATATTGCTATAAATTCGATATAAAAAACCATTATTAAAATAATAGAAATAAAAAAAAAAAAAA